GGGGGGGGGGGGGGGGGGGGRTGCTWTCWGTTTKWTTTTTTTCCCCCCTTCCTCCCACCCTTCCAATTTGTGTCTGTTGGTCCTTCCTCTATAGCTCATCATCATCTTCTTCTTCTGCTGCTGCTGCTGCGGGCATTGGTGAGTTGCCACATCAGCACGATGACATGCCAGCAGGCCACATCAGCAGGACATGTAGCAACATGTCAGCAGTGGTTCAGTGTTCAGTGCCAGGTCATCAGAGGGCCAGGACCATGTCAACAGGGGTTCAGTGCTACATCAGTCTCTGCCACCTGTTCTTGCAGCACATGCCAGCGATCTTGCATTGGATGATAGACAAAATAGAACGGAAGGAGGGGGAAACTGAGGCAGCTGAGGAGGCCTGGATGGTCGACCTGCTGGCCGAGATGCAGAAGTGGACTGAGGCGGCTATCGCTGCTCGTAAGGAGGAGGAGGAGGTGGAGGACCATCATCGGTGCGCCGAGGAACAGCACAAGCAGGGCAAAGCAGCAGCAGCAAAGGCTGCAGATGAGGAGAATGTTCGGCGATTCACGCGCTGAGCAAGTTTGCAATAGCAATCAATCGCATCACGAATCTACTTGCGACCTGCATTGCTCAGCAGGAAGACATCCTCAGCCTGGACCACGGGGTCAAGGATCAGCAGCAGATTATTGTGCAGTTGACTGATCGTGTGCAATTGTTGGAACAGCTACCAGCTTCCACCAAGGTGGCTGGCCCCTCCAACCTTGTGGATCACGTCTACACCGTGGAGGTTGACGTGCGCTCATTGAAGGACACTGCATAGCAGCAGCAAGCAACTATTCAACAACTTCAGGCCACTGATAGGCAGCTGGAGTAGCAGATCCGTACGGATGCAGCAGCAGGTCCCGCCTCGTCACCCTCCAGCCGCCCTCCCAAGTTGGATGATATCCCGGTCTTCTGCGATTGTTTGAAGACTGAGTCAATTCCATGGTGGCAGGCGTTCACCTTGGGGATGGACATGCACCATGTGCTGCCCAACGATCGACATGCATGTCTCTATCATCGGTTGGGTGGCGCATGTCAAGCCATGTATGGCTTGACAACATCCTGTCCACCCATAAGGTGCCCGTCTCCGAGCTGCACACGAAGATCAGTTGGGATGATCTTGCTGCAGTGTGGCACAAGTGGCTCCAAGTCGAACTACCCGAGATCAAGGCAGTGGAGTTCCGAGTCCATCCAAGGCTGAAGATTTGGAAATCAAGCATGGTGCACAACTCCTATAAGGTAGGAAGGTAAGGCCTAGAGAAGATCCCTCATCGGAGGTGGACAAACTTGGAGGCATGATCTTTGCCTCATAATCAATCGCTGCTGGCAAGACCATACCTCTTGGCCAGCTCAACCAGATCACCCCAGTAAGAACCATCGGGAAGGGACCGGAGGCCTAGGGTAGTTGGCATATAGTTTGGGACCAACGCTATGAACCTGTTTTGTATCCCTGTGAAGCACTTTCTCTATCTTCAATATACCGAGCTGCCGGAGCCCAAACTGAGTCGAAATGCTCACATAGATTCTCAGATCCTAAATAGTTCCCTCTGCAAACTCTGTGAGGACCACGAAGATTGACAAATCTCCTTGCTTGAATCCAACAGCACTGACATACCGGTAATGGAAGGCGTCCTTTGAAGCAATCCTGTTGAGACTGGTCAACATAGTCTGATGAACTGAGAATGACGTGATAGGACTCATGTACTGAGAAGGTTATTAGAACTGAGCCAAATGATGGAGAACTCAGGTCAAGTGATCAAAGAGATGTTGATGATGATTCCACAGACTTGTACGTCTTTTATGAAAGCACTGATTTATTGATACTGATATGAGAATTGACTGATAATAGTTGAAAGACAGTAAGCTCTTACTATGGATCACTAATGATGCCCTTTGATGATTGATAGCCTTTGATGATTGATAGCCATTAATGATTGATAGCCGTTGAATAACTGACCATTGATTATTGATCACTGACATTTGGATGTCATTTCCTGAATGATTCATTGACAAGATCCTTGGAAAAGCTGAGGCTGAGAGCAGTTACTTTCACCTGAGTTTCGCCTTGGACTGCTCCGTGGTCTCTAAAGCTGAGCCAGTACTATGCAGTTTTCTATTGTGATCATGGAATTGAAAACATATTCAATGTACTTCTCCCCAATTCTTTGGACAGCACACTCTTTCAGGGACAGCTTGTGAAATTCCATGTCCTGAGCTGTGTTAATTTCCCATCCCTCATATTTGTCTTTATCGATCTTGCATCTCATCACTAAACTCTCTTCATCCCTCATGGTCCTTTTTCTCTACTTCAAGGTTAAAGTTAGACAAGAGGCAGGGAAGGAGGAACAACCAATAGCCTGATAAGCACTGCACATGAAGAGAGCCAGCAGCTCTCAGGGGTCAAGGTTCTCAAGCGCCTTGTTTAATATATAGTTGCTGAAAACACTTGTTATGCGGATTTGTCACTGTGCAGTCACTGTTCATTTGTAGCACTGAGTGCTGCAGCAGACAGCCTCTACTCGACCATTGGATTGGGATTATTGAACAGTTCCTGTTTGTATTGAACATCGAGATGTTGCTATACACTATCCCTGTTCACTTCTAATTCGGGGCCAGTAGCATGTAGTGTCAATTCAAGTACTGCGCTAGACGAACCACACTCACTGACGATAATTCCTGTTTGAATACAATGCGGGATAATGCAGGGCGTTGTCGGTCAAAGTTTCTGCTCGCATACCACGTGGGATGCAGCTAGACACACCCATTGTTCAGGTACAACGCCGAGTTTCGACTGGCACAACCTCTTGTTCGAATACAGCACAAGGTACACCACACTTGGTTACCGCACATACTCCTTTATACCAATCTGTATTCTTCCATCGCGCGGGGAGTTTATCACAACTTTTCTATGTTAATTCATAAAGTGAAGAGTTTCTAAAGGTAAGCACAGTTGGAGTGCTATTCAGAGCATGATCAGCGGAGTGCTATTCAGAGCATGATCAGCGGAGTGCTATTCAGAGCATGATCAGTGATTACTATCCAATTACAGCACTGGGTACCACTCACACACTATCTGATGGCCACAAATGTCGTCTCAACTCAGTACCCAGTAAACAAAATTGCTGACCACAAGCTCGACATGAATAATACACAATTTTCCACATTTTGCAACCCACCCCTTGTTTGAACAACATACAAAATATTACTGGTAGAAAACCTTCTCAATAGCTGTACACAAGATACCTCTGTTAGGGATCTCCACCTGAATAATATGTAGTGTATTAGTAGTAGTAGTCCTGACTCGAATAATACGTAGAATATCTCTTGCAATAATCTTCGTTTGTACAGCGTACAAGATACTGCTAGCAATAATCCATAGCTACGCCGGACCGGACCCCGGATCGGTTCCGGAGAATCCGGAACCTGTTTCTGGATGCCTATCCGGATCCTTGTATTTTCGGATGGAAAAAAAAAAAGAAAAATAAACGTAGTACATACTCCATATATACATTACCTCGGGGGGCAATGGGCAATGAACTGTCATTGCCAGCATGCACACTGCACACAAAATCACAAATGCACAAGTAAGCAGCACAAGTTGCACAACTTGAACTGTGTTTATGACTCAGAAGAATCAGAACAGAGGCAGGAGGACTTAGAATTTAGAACTGAATAAATAATGAAATTAATATTTGAATATCCGATATCGTTCATTTGGACTTCTAGCCTTTTAGGCCGCCGTAGTCCCCTAAGTGTGGTAATTGATTGCAGAGTCGTTCATGATTCACGAATCATGAATGACTGCCCCAAAAATGTCTCTCTCTCTCTCTCTCTCTCTCTCTCTCTCTCTCTCTCTCTCTCTCTCTCTCCCCTCCCATTTTTTCTCAGCCAATGGCCGCTCATCATCGCCTGATGAGTAGTCTGATGAATCTCTCTCTTCATCATCACGTGGCGACTTCCTCGCCACACCCTTGCCATTGCCCCCCCTGTCCTTGCCCCCCTCTCTGCACGTGGTTCTCCTCAAGTGTCTGTGCAGGGTTCTCTCCCTTTACAGTCACGACATCCGAACCCTCCACATCCGCCGCTGGCGTCTTTCTTTGCCGGCCTCTAGCTTTTTTTTGGCGTTGAGGATCAGGTTGTGCCGACGATGTCCCTGTCTCCGTTTGTGGTGCTGTCGTTGCAGCACCGTGAGGCGGTGTGTCACCATCCCCCTTTTTGTGAGCACGCATGTGCTCCTCTGTTCCCAAGGTGCATGCCCTCCTTCGCACTTCAGTTTGGGAACGTTTGACGAGGAAGTTGCCTTCCATTGTCAATCCTAGCCAGTCCCTGCACTGCCCCTCTTCAATCTCCTCGAGGTTGCATTCTTCGCGGCACGGAACAACAGCTTCATCCCCATCTTCGTCACCGCCACCATCAGCAGGTGGAATAACATCGTCTCCAGCCGAGGTGAGGCTCTTCAATCGGCGCTCAGCCAACTTCACTCTTTCTTTGGCCTCCTTTTGCTCGTCCTTCGTCGGTGGGTCATCCCATTCAATAAGGTCTTTTGCGCTCTCCGGCATGTGCTGCAGCGAGCCAAGCAAGCGCATATTCCACTTGCTGTACACCAATTTGTGCATTGTCTCCGGGGCCAAGCCATTCCGCTCTTTGGAGTGAATTGCTGCAAAAAGGCTCCAATTCCATTCGTCAACCTGAAGCAGACGACCCTTGCCCCAACAGACGGATGGCATGGGGCTGCAAGTGTTGCAGCTCATTGCACCAGCGCTTCCACCATGCTGCACGGTTTTGCTTACGGGCTGCATCCATGGCCGCTTGAGAGTTGAACTTACCAATGTTCTGAACCCAACAATCGACTTCGTATTCCACCTGGTCGTACACCTCCTGCGATGACCATTTCAACCATGTGTACACCCAAGTGTAGAATCCATCTTGAATCTCTGCATCCTTGTGCAGCTCGGACGATCGGTACTCCGGATCCAAGAATAGAGCTGCACAGTGGAGGGGGGTGGTCATAGCATTCCATCTGCGCATGACCATCACCTCGATCTCCTCCCGGTCATCTCCCGTCAGGTCCTTAACTCGCAGACGTTCCGCTATCTTGTCCATCTTCGCTAAACCTTGCTGATGGTTGGATTGTTGCCATCCACCAGCTTCAGCAACAAAACAATGTCATATACAACATTGATTGCCTTGTTGACATCTTCCCAAAACCCTGCTGCATCAAGCAAGACATCTTCCATCTCGTGGAAGGCCGACCGTTGTCCATGGGGAACCAATGTCGCTCTCCACCTCTCGTCTGTTGTGACCATATCCACCAACGGTTTCCGCTGCTTCTTCAAGCGGTCCAGCATGTGGAAATTGGTCACGAAACGCGTTGCTGCAGGTCGCAGCAACTGTCTCCCACCCAAGTGGATGTAGAAAACATCCCTGACTCGCTGGTGGTTCATGACGAACTTCACCAAGTCATTCGCCTTCCCCACCATTCGAGCCACCCACTCTATCTTCCCTACATCGTGCAACACTAGGTCAAGGCAGTGAGCAGCAAATGGCACATGGAAAATCATAGGGAATGTATCCTCCACCAATCTGCCAGCTCTCACACACACTGCAGCGTTGTCCATGATCACTCCAACCACACTCTTTTCACCAACTTCATGTATGGACTCAGCTAATATATCAAAGTACGATGCTGCTCCCTTGTCCTTGCCTGACATGCAGTGCGACTTCCAAAACAGCACACCGGTCGGAAAGGAGACCATGACATTCAAGTGCGGTCTGCCTCTCCGATCAGTCCAGCCATCAAGCTGGAGCATGCATCCTGTTCGAGGCCAACGAGGCCAACTTCTCTGCTGCCGCAAACCTCCCTCCTCAACGCGAGCCCGTGACATGTCCAACCGTGTCGTCCACTGCGCGTCGTACTTTGCAAGGATGAAGGACCGCTCTGCGTCATGAACCTTATGTATCATGCGCAAGAAATACTTACTGCGCACCATGTTGAACGAGACTCCTTCGTACACCAACCAGTCATCTATAGAGCGTTGTGCTTCTTCGTTCTTCGAGATGATTGCCCCACCCTCTTTCAGTGTGCTCTGCCGCTCCTTGGTTGTCGTCGAAAGGCTAGTGTCGACTCTGTTTTCGACTGGTTGGGGCTGTTGCACTCGTCCTCCGCATCCACGTCTTCCATGCCCTCGACGTCTGACAGACAATCATGTGACGGTGCCTGAGGCACAGCCTTTCCCACCACCAGCGCAATTGCCTCCAGCCGGCCCAGCTCCCTCTTCTCTTTTTCCTCTGCCGACAGCCTGCTGCCTAGCCTGTTCATGTTGCACCTAGGCCTTTTTGTTGTGGACATGAAGTGCTTTGCACTCCCAGGGATTTGCAGTTCGCAATACAGGCTTTTCCACATTTAGTTCCCTTTCCCCACCTCCCCATGCACTCCAACATTCTCGAACTGGCGCTTGATCGTGTCTGCACCTGCTTTAGGCATCCTGAATTTGATGGCGACAAGTTGACAAGAATGCGGCAGAACAGCAAGCAAGGGGTGTCAGATCTTTTCAAAGTATGCTACTCTTTCTCTCTCTCTCTCTCATTCTCCCTCTCTCTCGGTTGCTGTGCAGCAGAACAGGGGCGAATTACTCCGGGGTGGGGGAGGGTCAACGAATCTTCATAGAAAAAAGAAGTCCGCAGCATTGCCATCCCCTCCCCCCAAAAAAACAACCCCGCCCACCACAACGGGTCGAAGCTCAATTTTTTGGAAACATACACACGGAGGGAGGAGGGGGAGGGCAGGGATAATCTTTGCAGGGAAAAAAAAAAAACAGCATTTTCCCACCTCCCCATGGGGTCAAATATTTTGAATACATGACGAGGGGGGGTAAACAATTCTTAATAAGGGGGAAAAAAAACCAGCATATGAAAAAGTACAAAGTGGAGGAGGAAGAGGACGAGGAGGAGGAAGAGTGTGAGGAGGAGGAAGAGTATGAGGAGGAGGAAGAGGATGAGGAGGAGGAAGAGGGTGAAAGGAAAGCAGGGTGGATTTTACGAGGGGGAGGAGGAGGGGTAGGGGGAGAGAGGAAGGGGTAGGGGGAGAGAGGAAGAAGAGTAGGGCCTTCTTCCTCTCTCCCCCCCCCTCCCCCTCGTCAAGTCCACCCTGATTTCCTTTCACCCTCTCCTCTTCCTCCTCCTCTTCCTCTTCCTGTTCCTCTTCTCTCTCCCCCTACCCCTCTTCCAGCGTGCTCTGCCGCACCTTTATCTTTTGTTGATCCCGCCCTCCTCCTCCTCCTCCACATACCTCAATCTCGTTTTTCGAGTTTTGACGAATCTTGCGCCTCCATCCTGCCATCCTCCTTCAACTCCTCTTCCTCGTTCCTCAATCTCGTTTTCGGAGTTTTGACGAATCTTGTGCCTCAATCCTGTCATCCTCCTCTCCCTCCTCCTCCTCCTCCTCCTTCCTCTTCTCCTCCTCTTCGTCGCACTTTTATCTAGTTTATTTGTAGTCCATCTCGCCATTCTCCTCCTCCTCCTCGCACCTTTATCAAGTTTATCTATGGTCCATCCCACCATCCTCCTCCTCCTCCTCGTCCTCTCCCTTGCACCTGAATCCAGCGTTGGAACCATACAGAGAAGATTATCATGGCCCATGCACAAGGATGACACTCATGAATTGAGTAACAGTCTGCATTTGGAAAAAAAAAAAAAAACCTTCCTCCTCTCTCCCCCTACCTCCCCTCCTCCTCCTCCTCCTCCTCCTCCTACTCGCACCTCAAACCCGCGTTGGATACAGAGAAGATTCATGGCCCATGCCCAAGGATGACACGCAAGAAGGCCTTATCATGGTCCACCTTGCTTTCCTTTCACCTATCCTCTTCCTCCTCCTCTTCCTCCTCCTCCTTTTCCTCGGACCTATATTTTTCGTCGATCCCGCCATCCTCCGCCTCCTCCTTTTCCTCGGACATTCATCTTTCGTTGATCCCGCGTTGGATTCGGTTGCGTTGGATACATAAAAGATTATCATGGCCCGTGCGCAAGGATGACACGCATAAATGGGTACCAAAAAAATTATCATGGCCCGTGCGCAAGGATGCACGGAGGAATCTTTCAATGAAACAAAAAAAAGAAGGAAAAAACAAACAAACGATTTCTACTTCTCCAAAATCTCCACAAACGCCAACGACGACCATAATGGACATAAATGGGTACAGAAAAGATTATCATGGCCCGTGCGCAAGGATGCACAAAGGAATCTTTCCATGAAAAGAAAAAAAAAAACGATTTCTACATCTCCACAAACGACGACGACCACCATAACAGACATGACTCGACTCCACTACCCTCCTCTCTCTCTCTCTCTCTCTCTCTCTCTCTAACTCCACTACCCTCCTCGGCGCTGGACTCCTCCAGCGCTGTGCCTCATGGCCGATGAGCAGCGCAGCTGCAGTCTCGAAATGGCGCAGCAGGGAGTCTCCAAAATAGCGCAGCAGCCAAGTTCCTGAACCAGCATAACGCAGGATTTCTCCTGGTACCTTCTGTGTCCGAACTGGGCAATGGCCCAGCTTAAGTAGTGCTGKGCCAGGACTGAAAACCCACGGCCTGCGTTCTGGACCGTGCAGATCGAAACTCCGATCCACGGTCCAGATCGCAGGCTTCGAAAACTGGTTCAGTCCTTGGCCTAAAACGGCCTGCCTGGGTCCCTTCCGGACGTCCAGGCCCTGTCCAGGATTAATCTTCCTGGTACCTGGCTTCAAACCGGTCCTGTGCGGACGTACCGGGCCTCAACGTCGGCCTGGGTTCGAACAGGTCAAAATCTGTTCGAAAACAAAAGAAAAGGTCCAAACGTTTTTAGGAGCTCAGCCTCTGGGCCTGAATCTGGCCCTGGCCCTAGAAGCGTGTACCTGGCCACAAAACGGACAACAGTACACCYGTTAGAAAAACAGCAGCAAATAAATAAAATAAAGACTATAAAAATAATCTAAAGCTGGCGTTTTTCAGATGCAGGCCCAAGTAAAAATGCCATAGGG